TAAATAGAATCTTCCTTTTGAACACATTCAAAGAACATGAAAATTTGGTCCTAATCGGCTGATGTGTCTCATTTTTCAGTACATCTACTGGAAACCTCTCGACATAAAATATTTCAACGTCGAAAATCTTTACTACTTCGTGAAYGATCACACGTGCAGAGTACAATAAACAAGCGTGTGTTCATWATGATTTGGATCTTTTCTCGTTTCTATGCAATTTTGTCCTAGAAAAAATCTTATCAAACTCCCTATTTTCGTTTCTGTACGAGAAACTTCTCGAACTGTCAAACATTGCGACATAATCAACTGGTTTGTAAATTCCCTCCCACAGTTTTTGGTCAACACTCATTTCAACAACATCTTTCGAATATTTCAAGTGAGTAGTATATGAAGAATCTTTCAAAACAAATATAATCCCCGTTTTGTGTCTGACGGCTTCGGAAAATGATGCATCCCGTTGCCTTGCGTTCGCACCATTGAGGGATCTTCATATGTGTCGTGTAGAAGGATCTAAATATCGAGAAATTGTCAAATTAACTACGCCGAGACTGGAMTGTTCGTTACATACAACGAAATGCCGAGGACACTCACGGTTTCTTTCCTATTCTTTTCCATCTTCCTATGTTTTCCATATCTAGAATGCGCTTTGAACTCGCTGCTCTCGCTCTCATTGCAAAAGGAGTTTCTTCGGATGCCAAAGCCAGTGTTTTGGATACGTCTCCAAGCGACAACCAAAAAAGAAACCACAAAAATGATGGTGCGGAGTTGAAATCTTCCGAGCAAACCTCTTCRCTCCCTGTCTTCACTCACGGGAATTTGAAGGGCAAACTGTCCTCCACGCATACCATCAGCGCRAAAGAATTGCGTAACCTCAATCCGAACGCGGACAGGATAGTTGCGTTGTCTGAAGATGATTCAGAAGAATTTAAGATCTGCAGCAACGAGGAAATCGGTATCCTCCACGCTGCCTGTTCGTCTCCCRACGAAAGTTGTGTTCCCCTGAGACGTTTTGTCGCAGGAAATCCATCWACTCGTCTCCACGAAAACGAAAGACAAGAAGTAGGGGTATGTCTCCCTACCTCCCAACTTAACGACTCGAGTTACGAAKCAATTTCTTATGATCGCAATCTACAGGTGTTGGATTGCGATTCRGTTTGTGGCTCCGATCGAAAGAAGATTTATGAAGATGGCGAGGMTTTCCAAAGCCTCATCGCCSAAGCCCAATCTGAACCGGATTTAATYAATTGCTGGGACACATCAGAGGTCACCAATATGACGAGAGCCTTTTTTGACCTGAAAAGCTTCAACAGCGCTTTGGAATGCTGGGACACGAGCAACGTCGAAGCAATGAACGGCATGTTTGGYGGTGCAACCTCATTCAACATGCCCATCGGAAATTGGGACACATCCAAAGTGACGAACATGGAAGCTATGTTCTACATGGCRAACGAGTTCAACCAGCCTCTCGGAGACTGGGACACGGGGCAGGTTACGAGCATGTATGCCATGTTTGCTCTTGCGAACAAGTTCAATCAGCCAATCRAAGATTGGAATGTGTCGAATGTTTATGACATGGCCTCGATGTTTTTTGTGCTCCTCTATGGTTCCTATTTCAACCAAAAGCTAGACAGCTGGGATGTGTCGAGTGTGTACTACATGCAATCCATGTTTTCTGGTGCGAAYAGCTTCAACCAGTGCCTTGGAACATGGGGTTCTAAAACCCCCGAATCAGTAGGCACGGAGTACATGTTGTATGGGACGGCTTGCCCCCTTGGCGACGGARACCCCAACCCTTCTGTCGGACCGTGGTGCCAGGGAAGCCAGGACGAGTGCTTCGATTTKGAGGCGTGTGTCGACGATGAGGAATTTTCTTTCWCCAACAAGGGTCAAGAATACAAATGCACCAACATGCCTGGCAAATTCTGCAAGAAGAAAACTGTTGCCTCAAACTGTCCCTCTAAGTGCAGTTTAGCATGCAAGTGTGAAGACAAGAAAAAGTACAAGATCAAGGGAGAGGGCAAATTTYTMTGTGCARARGTCGAAGAKGATGMCAATCCCACATGCAACGACGAGATTAAACCAGGCCTTATGGTCCGTGATGAGTGTCCAAAAGCATGYGAAAGCTGTTTGCTTCCCCAGTAGTCGYAGATGTAGAGCAAACGTGATCTTGCATGGAAAAAGTAGAAAAAATGGTGTTAATCAGATATTTTATTAGAAGTAACATAATCATGTTCGATGCAAATATTGTAATCACGACTAAGCCCCACATCAGACACGGGTCCTGAGTAGCAACACACACAGCTTGTTCACATTTATGCTGCCAGATATCTTCATGGACAGATCAACATGCCCACGAAATCACAAGTGAAAAATTTAACAATTTTAAAATCAAATCAAGCAAGACCAATCGCAGTCACGAATGGTTAGACTTGTAACAATATTGTCTTCAAAAACTTGTATTCTAGAACATCTTTTTTCGGAAATTTCATCATCATCTGGTGACACTAGAGAGCGATAGAGCTATCTTTGCCTTGTTGTCTGCCGCGTATTCAGTACAGAGTATGTGCGTGTAAGCATTGGTTTGGTGTCTAGCTACRTACATCTTGAATGGCCGTTTCACTCCTGAGTGCCCTTGCCAACCGGTTGGAAACCTCCTTTCCAACTTCGTTGTTGTCGACATAGAGATGCCTAAGGGCTGTGTCACCCTTTAGTTCTTCCAAGACCTCGCAAAAGGAGGCAGCACCCTCTGGTCCGAGCAAATTGCCCTCAAGATAGATCTTGGACACAGTTTTGTTGGTTCTCAAGGAGTCGGCGAGGGCTTTGGCACCAGCAGGGCCGATCTTGTTGGCTCCAAGGTAGATCTCCCGGATGCTAGACGACGCAGAGGACATGGTTTTTGCTAGTGCCTTGCATCCCTCATCGCCGATRGCGTTTCCTTCCATATAAAGGTATTGCAGATTGCTTGTTGATGTTGTTTCATCGCTGGTTTGCTCTTCGTTGCCGTCCCCAATCATAGCGTTGCAAATGGCAATCATACCGGCGCTATTGATTTCGTTGAAGCGGAGGTCTAGCTTGGTSAGCTTACCGTTACCATTGCGAAGCAAATTCGATGCCGCGATCGCCTCAGCACCAATGTTTCTTAGCCCGTTCCCCCCGAGATACAGTGACTCGATGGATCCAGCGACCCGCGCAACAATGGCCAGGATATCTTTCAAAGGTAGATCCGTTCCAGCCAGACTCAGCGTCCTGAGGCTCCGAAAAGCTTCAAAAACCCTTGGATCGCAGGGAAGCCCCTTGTGGAGGCGCCTACCCCCGAGATCGAGAAATACCAGAGAGCCGTTTTGTTGGTCGAACCGAACCTTTTCGGATTGCCAGGAATCCAAGAATTCTGTAGACGAGAACGTATCCTTAGATTCCTCGTGCCGTAGTTGTTGCTGCTGACCATTGGCAGGGAGGACACCATTGCCGGGTTGGCAAAAGTCGGCGAATATGTCGACCTTCGGCGTGTTGAGAAATACGAGGTTATGCTCCCGAAGGATTTCGAGTCCGTCGAGGCAGTCGGGATTCACGATTTTGTTGGTGCCACTCATATCAGTACAGTTCTACCGTGACTTTTTTGCTTGGGAACGATATCTATTCCACAATGCAGTTTTACGGCGTGACGAAAAGAGCAAAGTGCAAGGACTAGATGTACTCTTTACTAACAGCAACATGTACAGAACCACCGTGCTCGTTTTTCGAACCGTACGGTACGAACTGTATGTCCATTTTCTGGTCTGAGATGGATTTAAAAAAAACATGAAATCGAATTCAATTCAAATTTATTATTTTAAACAAATCGTTCTGTTGACAGACGGATGGAGGTCAGACGTCAAAAAGCATGGATCAAACGACCTCTTTTTTGGCAAGCGAAGCAAAATCGACGATTTCAGAACTGGTCCCCCTACTGTTTTCAAAAATCATAATCAGCGATGGTGCGACCATTACCTCAGCGCGAGTCACAGAGAGAGAGTACCTAATYAGATTGAATGGTGCACMTMGGCAATAATCGATGCGCACGTCTTCAATTGCCCCCAAGCAGACTACGACTCGCTGTTTCGCTTTAAAGGAATCACAAGAAGAACCCATAACGCCATTAAATAACCGTATCATAACGTCTCTTTCATTTTATGTAGAAAGAGAACTGATGAATTCCTTAACATTAAGACGCTGGTAGGGTACCAAGTACTATAAAACTACTGCACGAATGAACGAAACGTCTGGGCTCTCCCTTCAGTCCTTCTGCTCTGGTTACGTGACACAACGAAGGTCACCAGAACATAAGGAAGCAAGCAAAACTACCGGAAATGACGATTTCATTACGTTCACAGTGCAGTAGAAATACGTAATACAATAGCAATCTTCCGTAATAATTTTTCCAGGAAACATATGTTGTTGTGTGGGGAAAAGGAAACAAAAAATACTGGCACCAATCGTGCCATATCCATAGCAGTAATAATAGAATCAATTTGCACCTCTTGTGAAGCATATACAATTCATAACACGACAACCTTCTCTCCACGAAAATGACCCGCTTGTTCCCCCCCGAAGAGGCAAACTCTTCCGTTCTGAGCGACGAAACCATCCACGAGGCCCCCGAAGAATTTGACAGCGACGACATCAGTAGCAACGAAAGCGAGGACGTAATGGATGGGATCGATGACGACGATGAAGAAGACGATGATTCAGACTGTAGCGCTTCCACCGTCTCRACGAGCCCATTGTTGAAACTCATCCCGACCGCGCTGGCGTCCCCACAGCAGCAGCACCGATCGTCACTGCTGGACAACGGCAAAAGTGGAATGCCCCTCCCCCCCGGGAGCCACCTTTCTGCGAACGAGCCCAGACCCGAAAAGGGAGTCGATCGCCTCCTATTAATGGCTCGCTATCCAAATGCAGATGAGTCWCAGATCCAGCAAGCCCTGCAACGGAAAGAACTCCAACAACGTGCCGCCAAGATCGCCGCCACAAAAAAGGCGCAACTCTTTCGGGAACAAAAAGACCTTGAGGATGCCGAACGTTGGARGCTGCAGCAGGARAGAGAGCAGAAACAGCTTGAGCAGCTGCGGAACGAATACCGGCAGCACCAACAAAACCAGGAGCTACAGMAATTTCAACAGCAACAGCAACTCCAATTCCACCAACAGATCGAACAATTTCAGATGCAATCTGCGCAGGCGTCTAACAACGGGAGTGGAGCAGAAAGATTCGTTGGAACCACCGAGGAAGAGCGGGTGCAGGAAAACAGGTTAACAAATTTGAATAATGACCAGCACCATCCAAAGGGAAGTTTTGGCCACGCGGCCAGCCCCTCCAAGAATATTTTGCCAAAGCGATCCCAGAGCGGAACAGACGAGGACGAAGAAGAGGATCAGGATGCCTCGTACATGTGGGTGTCCGGTATGGCTAGGAGCAGTTATGAGTCCGAGAACAGCAACTATCGCAATAGCAATGATGGCGGAAGTAGTGGTGRKKACCACGCCGATTACTACAGYMGGGCGGTGCTCTCAAATTCAGGGGGCGATACGGACGAAAGCGACGACGTTGAAAAAGCGGGGAATTATTTCTATCATCGTACCAAGAGCGGYGGCAGAGAATCACCAAATCACTCGCAGCGATCGTCCCCCATCCGAAAGAATCTGCGGGAAAGCATKAGCAAGGTTGCGAAGGCGTTCTCAAGCACCGCGAAAGCCACCCGCCCGGTRCCCCTCGGCTCTTCCATGGACCATCCGGCCAAGACCGCCGCAGCCTCGAACTCGTCGGGTGACCACGGTGCCAACCGAAATACAAGCAATGCCCATCAAGCACATCAGCAGAAGTGGCAGCGGTTAAATTCCGGAAATAATATCGACGACACCGACGAAAACCTTCCCGATACAGGCAGCAGCAGCTTTGACACGGACCGGGACCACAACAACACCAACAAGTACAGCGTTTCCAGCAGCACTAGTAGCTACTATCGAAACGACCAGAGCAAACAAGTGAAAGGTTTTCACCAGTACAACGATGGAGGCTTTGGCCACKCCGATGACGATGAGGATGCCGATTCAGAAAGGAAACGTCTAAACGGATCTMGTTGCTGCGTATGGAYGAAGCGCAACAAGCTGCTCGTGGTGATATTTTCATTTCTTCTTTTGGTTGCAATCTTAGCAACGGCCCTGATGGTTGCAAAGAAGAACACCAAYCGCAGCCCCATGTCAACGGAAAGTAGTCCTAGTGGTGACGAAATGATGGTGGACCTTCCCACTGATTTCGRCAACRACTTAGAGAGCAACGACRCCGATGGAAACAGCTTTMGCGGCGAGGGWGAGACATCTACCGGCGATATTGCGGTTGCAACTCCCTGGGACATGCCACGGGTACCTCCACCATCGATAGCTCCAGMATCTTTTCCAACGGAAAACCAGAGCGAATTTGGCGAGGGTATTCCGTCACGGCCTCCCKTCCTTTCCCAGCCCACCGATCAGCCCACGACGTCCTCCAGCGAAGTGCCGTTCCTGGATTGGACCTGGGACGTCGTTGGTAGTGGCGAAACCATCATTAAGGGCACCCCCCAGATCGACCAGCGGTTTGGGGAATCGGTTGCGATTTCCGAGGACGGAAACACCCTAGTGGTGGGCTCTCCCAACGCCCTGGGATCCGGAATCGTCCGCATCTATCAAAAAGACGCCGGAAACGACAACGGCGGCGATTTTTCCTGGAAACCCATCGAGTCGCTTCTCGGCCGCCAGCAGGGAGACGGCTTTGGGACCACTGTAGCCCTTTCCAAGGACGGAAGGGTTCTRGCCGTCGGGGAACCCGAGAGTGACGGCAGTACCGGGGACAAGGCAGGGAATGTGAGGACCTACGTCTACAGCCCCTTTGGGTACGTTTCCCGCGGGCCCGATCTGGAGGGGACTGGCGCAACGGACCACTTTGGGCTCGGCCTTGCTTTGTCGGGAGACGGTAGCCGTCTGGCCATTGGGGCCCCCTATCAGGACAACAGCTTCGTTCAGCTATCCACAGCTGCAAAACAGCGGGGAAGCGGCGATCGCATCGGGGGCGGCGGATCGTCGTTGCGMAGTGGAAGCAACGGGAGCGTCGGTAGCAACGGTAACAGGCTGGTCTCCGGAGCGGTGATCGTGTACGAGTGGTCCGAAAAGGATCGGAAATGGATCCCCATGGGTGCACCGTTGATGGGGGAGAGCAACCTGGACTGGTTCGGAAAGAGCCTTGACCTCAGCAACGACGGAAGCCTGCTTTGCGTCGGATCCCCACGAAATATTCAGTCCGGTGGGCACGTCCGTTGTTTCAAGGAATCTGAGGAYTACGCAGTGCCTTCGTCGTCGGACGGATCCAAACTTATCGAAACCRAGTTTTCGGTGCGATGGAAGCCCCTCGGAGACCCCATTCGCAATACGGAGCCACCGGTCCGCTCAGACGATAATTTCGGAGCATCCGTTAGCGTCAGYACCGAYCCCACCSGCAAGAAGTACCGGGTGGCCATCGGTGCCCCCGGCAAGAACGGAGCCAATAGCGAAGAGATCGACCGGGGCGAGGTGACGGTATACGAATTCAATCCCGAAACTTCCGAGCGGGGTTGGATCCGGCTTGGCAGGGAGGTGCTGACCCCACCTACCAACGAGGGGCGGGACTTTCGCATGGGTCATTCCCTGGATCTTCACCACGACAAGCTTGTGGTTGGTATGCCCGGGGCGGATATGGCAGAGGTATTCGAATTCGAGCRGGACAACTGGCGGTGGATCCGCCATCCGCGCCTCTTCGAAGGGGGCAACCGGTCGGGCTCGGCCGTGAACGAGTATGGAGCCGCCGTAAGCATGACCCCCTTTGGTGATTTTATTGTTGGGAGCCCCCTGGCGGGGGACGGAAATGGTTCCGTTCAGGTTTATCAGAGAGATTGAATCGGTTTTGATTTGGTGCGATAGATTATTTATCTRTCTGTGCCRTAGTGCTTTCTCCGCRTCCATTGTTCTTTTTCAGAGAACGATTTTGACATCCATTGATTACACACATACCAATACCAAAACGATACGAAAACGATAGGACATGGCAAGACACGGCAAGACATGGCAAAATTCGAAAACWAACAAAAAGCAAGATGGGGTTGTTTTGCAACTCAATCGCAAAAGGAACTATCAGGAACAATTCTAATCATGAAACCACAAATAGTATTTGCATCATTCATAGTACGATCTAGTCCTTCAAGTTATTGTTAATCTTAAAGCATTGTGTTGTTGTGTTTCATTCCCCAAAACGCTGAACGGCATTCGGATCGTTGCTACCTCTGCCTTCGTAATTTGGTAGTACTTATCAAAAGTCTTTGGCAATTTTGAGCGGGCTGCCACCAAAACGTGTTCTGTCGCTGCTAGCAAGTAGTACTGCGTGTAGTTCCAATCATTTCATGTGTCCCATGCATGATTGGTTTCTTCTGATTTGGGCACGATTGCTGTTGATAGCGGCGGTCATGCTATTGAACAAGCACAGAAACAAAACTTACAATCATACCAGTTTTGCTGCTGATGATCGTGCTGCTGTTGGCGCTAGTACGAGTATTRCAATTCGTTGTCAAGACAATTGCGGCATGACGCGATAGGTGGGTTCTCGCAATAGTGGTAGTGTTTTTTATTATTAAACTAGTACAACTAGCAGTAGCAGTAATCCGAGTAAGAAGAAGTTTATACTACTCCAACAAATGTTCCTACTACTACTAGAAGCATTCGCAGTATCTCATCGTGCATATGCTACACTCTGTTCTTCACCATCTGGCAGGGAATGAGAGAACGGTCCAAGAATGGTAGTAGGAGTCTTATTTGGATCCCAAAAACCGCCAGTAATAGACAGGTTCGAAAAAAGTAGTTCGATTCCGAACCTAATATGCTCGCCCCGCTTCGATCCCCGGAGGGCAGATCGGGGTTCGCGTTGCGTCACCCTAATCTGTTCTTCTTTCGAGGGTAACCGGAGAACCGGTTGTGTGTGTGCGGGTGCTCCTCCCGTGCAACTCCCGAATGGACATTTTCTACGTATGGTACGCASGGCACTTTTGCATCCCCATGATGCGGCGTTTTGACGAAGCTCTYTATCTAGGACTTGAAGTTTTCGGAGCGCGTCACCAGTTCTCTCGTCCACGTTTCGTTTCTTGGACATTAAGCCASCGAGGAGGCCGAGCCGAAGAATCTTCTTTCGATTCCGTCCAATGCTCGTTGGTTGCAGAAGATTTCAGTACTTGTAGGGATGACATAGGCCGGCCTGCGTCAAAAGTCGTTTCAAACGTTAGAATCAATACCGGCCGCCTTTTGCCGCGCTTTCCGTTCTTTGTCGTCCACCTMCCCYTCGACGGAACCAGGGCATTCAAATGCCGCTCGGAGTATGAAAATGCTAATTAAAAATCTCGCAGTTTGTCCCCCCSGAAGACACACCGATCGACCCTCRATAGGTGCGCTGTTCGTACCGTAGGGAACTGCCGTTGCGTCGGTAGTTTGGGGGAGAATGTAGTGGATTACCATCTGTTGGGTGCTYGAAAGACACMATCAAACTTCAAAGGTATCCATTTCTGCTCGAGAGCCAAACGGCAATGGTACGATTTCAAAAACCCTCCTTTTGCGATTGGTTTCCGGAAAATTGCACAATCTTCGAGAACGGAATAGAACACAACCACAACGCGCCGCAAATTGCTCAATGATTTGTTCYGGCCTTGGGAGCACACGAGTACGTACCGAACCCAAACGCAAGAACGCCTGACACCTRATAAAGGAACGCAATCCAATCCTTGTTTCCGGAGAGTAGGAGTTGCACGGTCACTCCCCAACAAAATACCGACACCTTTCACCTGGCAAAGTATCGGCACCACGAAAAAAAAGGAGTTGGTTCGATTTGCCKGAACGGAAGCACCCCGTCCATCAACGCTGACATCTTCCATCAAATCATACAACACCAATGACATCCTTTGACTTGCGYGCGGTTGTGGAAATCCCCACCGCTGCCCTCCACTACGAGGACGGCGCAAGAACGCGGTGGAGCAGCAGGAGGGGCATGGGCCGCGCAAAGAKCTTCGATCGTTCCATCGGCCCTGCAAAGAACCCCAGCCACACAACCAAACCCCGCGGCAACAAGGCCGGCAACAACAACAGCAACAGCAGCTACAACAACAACAAGAACAGCTACACCACCACCACCACCAACAACAACAAGAACCACAAAGCCSCCATGAAGATTCCGGGCACACCGCGAACCGTGCATTGCTGCAGCGACGAGGAGATCGAGGACGAGGATCCCTTCCTTGTCTTTGAGCAAGRGGAAGACTCCGGCTCCGACGCCCCTGCCCCCCGTTCGGAGGCAAGCCCCCCGAGGGCCGGCGTTTCGGCCCTTCCGGCCTCGTCGGAGGCGTCGTGCACGTCGTCCGTCTCGTCTTTTTCCAGGCACACCCAAGCGCACACCCGTGGGAGGGGGCCCGGGCGCAGCAAGAGCAACAGCGAGCGCTTCTTTGCCTCGGACCACTCCAGCGGCTTTTACGAGGCCCCAAGGGCCGCGAGGACCCGCAAGCAGATCCGCAGGCTCTACGGGACCACCGCCTCGTCGTCCGCCGCGAGCGTGGCCACCGAGGCGTCCTCTTCCTCCTCCCGGAGCCKGCGGTCCATCGCGAGGGTCCGGGACGCCTGGCAGAGCCTGGTGTCCCCGGACTTTTCCTTCGGCGGCCCCCTGGGCCTGGGCCGGTCGGCCCAGTCGCCGCTCCTCCCGTACAAGAGCGGCAGCCGCCGGTACAAGGACGAAACACGGGGACAAAGGATCTACTACTCCCTGGGGGACGACGGCGGCGGCGGTGGCGGCGACACAAGGGGGGCTTGCGCCGCGGGACGGGGGGTGCCGAGCCTTCCCTCGCTCGCGCCGGAGCCGTTCGCTCCCCCAAAAGCAGCGGAGGCCGGGGCGGTCCATCGATTCTCGRAGGAAGCCTCTCCCCTTGGGTCGCCGTCCCGGTCGCTGCCGGGCCGGGCCTCCCGGCCGGYGSCSCCCCCCCGCGGGCCCGACKACGGCGACAGCGATTCCGACGACGACGACGACGAAGACGATCCCTGCCACGGGGACCACCCGGGGGCGGGGACCTTTGATTTTGCCATTGGAAGGGGAGAATGCTAGAACCAGCCAGCGAGCGAAACAAGGGCACCGCTTACTCCACTCCACTCCACCGCAGCGCAGCAAAGTGCCACTCAACGCAACGCAACACAAGCGCGGCCTGCCCTGCCGCGGCCCGGCCTTGCAAAAGAGAACCAAGCGCAGCACGGCAACGCAACGCAACGTCCCTTAGACATAGAAAAGGAACAACAACAACAGCAGCAGCAGCAATATATATATACATATACATACACACTCACACACATAAAGTACAGTACAGTAATACATAGAAAAATATGATTGACCGGTTTCTTTGTCTTTTGAAACTACGCGCTACTGCAAATATTTCGTGCTAGAGCAGTCACCGTTGATGCAACAGAAATTGGTACAGCAGTGAGACCCAGAGAAGCTAGACACCCCGTCGAAGAAAGAGGGACTCGAACGGCAGGCATGCCACCCGATATGGACGGGCACCGAGTCGGGTTCCGAAACCGATCCACGGTGGTGTCGTGCAGCAGAAGGAACAGAACAGAATCCAACCGAGCGATGGCACAACACACGAATCTTGCCGGCCTCTCGTTTCCCGTGAGTGGGTCTTCTGCGACCTAACCCGATCCGGCTCGCCGCTCTGCGATGCGATGCGCATTCCATCGCGGCGCCGGGGGAAGGTCCTTTGCGTCTCGGTGGGGCCCCTTGCTCAGTCCAGCTTCTTGCCGGCGCCTKCTGCGCCCGGTGGCGCCTCCGGGGCCCCCCGCTTGGCCCTGGCGGTTTCGTGCCGCCGSACCAGGAGCGACCGGAGGACCCCCGGGAGCAGGACCCTCAGCCAGAGGGCGATCCTGGCCGTGGCCGAGGCCGCCACCACAAARTCGGCCTCTCCCTTCGCGACCGACCGGTCCAGGACCTCCACCGCCACGTCCCTCGGGTCGGCCCCGGCCGCGGTGGCCGGGTCGGTGGTCCCGTAGGCCTTCCCRTCGCCCGTGACCGCGCTCGCGGAGAGGTTGGTCCGGATGTAGCCCGGGCTGGCGCAGTGGACCGAGATCCCCTCGGTGGCCAGCTCGGCCCGGAGGGCCTCGCAGTAGCCCTGGACGGCGAACTTGGAGGCCGCGTAGGAGGTCCGCGAGGGGATCCCCATGAGGCCCTGGACCGAGCTGATCCAGAGGATCTTGCCSCCGCTGCCCGCGGCCACCATGGTGGGAACGACGGCCTTGGCGAGGGCCGCCCCCGAGAAAAAGTTGATCTGCATGACGCGCTCGTCGACCTCCAGCAGGGTGTCGACAAAGTCGGACCGGCTGGAGACCCCCCCGCAGTGGATCAGGACGTCGACGGTCCCCCCGCAGGCCTCGACGGCCGACCGTCCCAGGGCCAGC